TTCTTGGGTTAATTCGTACGTACGATATGATCAGTGCGTGTTCATGGCGTCTGCGATGTGCGATATGCCAATAGAGCAAATTCGTCTCGAGTGAGGAAGCCGAGATAGGAGGCTAGACCGGTAAGCTTGGCACGGGGCCTTAAAGTCTGAGAAAGTCTGGCGTCGGGCCAAAGTCGAACTTTATTTTGACCCCCCTGTACATATCGTTTGTACTTCTCTCGTTCGCTGCTCCTAACCTCCAATATGTATATATATATATATATATATATCTTATATAATATATATGTAAACAGAACCCGTCGTTTCCCTATCTCGCCCAGCGTGCTTCTTCTCTCGCGTGTTCGTTCGCTGCTCCTAACCTCCAATATGTAGCACGGGGCCTTAAAGTCTGAGAAAGTCTGGCGTCGGGCCAAAGTCGAACTTTATTTTGACCCCCCTGTACATATCGTTTGTACTTCTCTCGTTCGCTGCTCCTAACCTCCAATATATATATATATATATATCTTATATAATATATATGTAAACAGAACCCGTCGTTTCCCTATCTCGCCCAGCGTGCTTCTTCTCTCGCGTGTTCATCAGAAATAAGTTTATCAACAAACGCGACGCGGGTAAATTTTCCGCGGCTCGCTGGCAAAACTTGCCCGTTATAAATAGCCGGCAATAAAAATAGACGTGGGAGAGACGAAACGCTACTACGGTAGCTTTACAGCCATGGGTGTGACTTTGATACTTAGCTAGGATACGTATCTCTGCCCGGATCCTTTCTGACTGCTCTGTTAGTATGCCTCTTATGGGACATTCCGTTATGGGGTTAGTGAATTTAAAAAAAAAATACATACAGCAACTCGTATGTAAATCGATATAGATTCCTGGGAGACCTTGAGGATATTTTTCAGGTCGCTAAAGTTTCGGTCTGGACCAGTAAAGACAACGGGGTCGCTGTTCCTTTGATGAATGTGGGTGCCAGAGGGTTGGGTTAGGTGTCTGATGTCTTTCCGGGGACGGCGGGTACGTTTCGGTGTGTGTAGTAAAAAAAGGTTCCCATTACAGAAAGTTCCTTGTGGGTGAACCTTCTTTTTTTTTTTACTATTTCTCTTGTAGCCTAGTAAAATATTTCGTGCGTCCATTCGCCTTTAATGGTCGGATTATCTCGTGACGTGATCGCCATTTTAAATCAGGGGGTGAAAGTGAGGAAGGTATAAGGGTTAAATTTTGGCTGGGCTATGAAACCCGGTAATTTTTTTATTCCCGAAATTCCACCGTGGCGTGGATAACGTGTTACTGGGATGCGATAAAGTTTATATTTTATCGATAATACGATAAGGTTACTTCGGATCGATAAGAGTGTTATACGTGGATGACGAATAAAATGATACGACTATATCGGTGCACTGTAATTGGATAGAGAGCAGGTGCCTGCTGGGTGGATTGCGTTATAAAAATACAACTGTTCAATCGAACACGAGATAAAGCAGATGTCAGTTAAATTTTCAGAGACACCCGTTAGACAGTTCAGGCGGGTTTAGCCGATCCAGGTAATCTCCCTCTGGCCCCCTTAAGTGCAATTAATTAATTATCCTAATTGCTCGGCTCGCGTTAACCTATATCCATGAAGCCACTGTCATTATCCAGATACACGGAAGCTGCTGAACAATTAATCTTTGAGACAACTTTATCTCATACATTAAACGTATACACGCGTATCCGGAGTTTGATTATCGTGTACTTTTTTTTTTTTTATCACCGCTTAAAAAGAAGATTTCATCTCAAATAATTGATGCGAATTTAATCTTGATGTCGAGGGAAACTGGACCAGGATTTTATCTTTATTTTTTTTTTTTAATCACTCAACTATCCCAAGAGCACGAATGCCTGGTCCACGATTCTGGAATACAATATGGCGGCGCACACTGGCCTAACGGACCGTGTACCGGGCTCATGTGGATAAGCGTCGGGACGCCTGTCGACGTCTAGAAACCCGGCAGGATCTTACCAGGCCACCCACGATAAACAATTTCACGACGAGAATAGCCGAGCGCCGTTATATCCGTCGAAGAATTCGTTCCGGTCGTGTCTTATTTTATTTCTTTTCTATTTTTCCTATTTCTTTTTCTTTAACTACAGAAAATCCTTGGAATTCACAAAAGCCATTAAACGTTTTCCTCGGATGAGAGATCACGTTGGGAATAAAATAGCGGACACGGTTGACGATTACAACCCGAGATGGAATTAATGAAAATTTAAAATTCAACAGGCGGAACAGATGTCCCCCTTAACTCCGGAATTATTCACTGTATCCGTTTACCTTAATGACACAAAATTCAATATCTCCGTGTAGCGTTTAGTAACCTCACTGTAAACTCACTATGACTAATTCGTTATGACGAATAACGTATTACGGGTACCCGTATTGAAATTGGATACTTTCACAGTCATGAGAAAATTTTAAAAAGAGAAAAAAAAATCCGAACCCTCCGTTGCGCAACATCCCTCCGGAGGTAGTTGACTTGCATTTAACCTAACCTAAGCCCCTGGCATCTAGCCTAGGCAACAAGACGGGGTCGCATTAGAACGTCGCCGAGAATTATGATATGCTAGTCTACCGGGTGCACCCTCGTCCCTGTCTGCGTTAATGGTACCGCTGTAATGCACGTCACAGGGGTGGATCGTGATAAAGTAGGGAGGTGAATACCGGAGGGTCGGTACGGGCCAGTAGACTGTCGAGGATTGTTGCGACGGAGGGGTAGGGATTAACAAAGGGTTTAAATGCCAAGAACGGCACCCCTATTTAATTCCTCCTCCTCCCCCTCTCCCCCGGATACGGGGTGAGGTCAGCAACGGCAGTAGTAGCAGCAGTTGATATCTATCGTCCCGTTACATTTATGTGCCCCGGACAAAGAAATAGCGGACACGGGGGTCGAGTCTAGGTAAGGGTAAAGCTTGGGGTAGTTTTCATCGTAGCATTTAAAGGCTTCTTTTCTTTATTGGTTCAGGAGGGTATAATCACAAGCATTGACAAGCGGGGGTTGTCAGTGTTACGTAAAAGGACACCACCACCCCCCCTCTTTCTCAAAGCCACCCCTGGGACGAGTACAGGCACCCCCATAATTTTTTTCGGAAGATAAAAAAAATAATTGAATGGGTTAATGGAAAAAAATTGGCATACGATTTTTATATATATATATATATATATATATATATATACTGTTGTTATATGGATGTATATATATATTTAGAAGCGAGGTTAAGTGGGTGAAAGTCGTTACGAACGTAACCGCATTAAGGCCCGTTCACAAGCCAGGTATTTCTGCCTCGGTTAACGACCTCCAGTCTCACAGATAAGCGTCAATTAAAGCGAACCGTGTCGACGGCGAAATTCCGCCTTTGGAAACGTGAAATATGGGCTGCGCATCGGACGACCGTAGGTAATGGAGACGCTTTACGGAATTATTCCCCATTATCTGGAATTCTTATGGGCTCTGGGGAAGGGCTCTATTTTTAATTAAAAAAAGAAGAAAATACTTAAAACTTGTGCACTCACTGTCGCAGGGTTATAGGGAGCTTTCTCGTTTGGGAGAAATTCCAAAAAGGGTCGCGAAGGGAATGATCGAGATTAGTTTTGATTCTAAACGGGTTGCTCGTTAAGGGTCGACCCTTGGCGACCCTGCACGTCAAAGGTGATATTAGTTTTGGATGAAATGAACAATTTGTGTAAAATGGCTATAAAGGGTGAAAGGTCAGGAATGACGATAAACCCTTATCCCTCGGTTATCGGCCTCGATAGCGTAATGTATTTAATTATTTAAATGTCCCCTGATAACGATTACGATAACGGTAGAGTGCGGATATCAACGTACGCCAATTTTGTCGTATCTATTAAAATGCACGATACAAAATTCGTGCAATCAGTAAAATACGTGCGAAATTGAATTTCATGGAAATTGGCCTTTCACTGCCTAAATTTTTGCTAAATTTCAATCGTTCTCGCGGTACGGTATATTCCAATTTATTTCACGGTTTTTCATGAATTCGGGGACGGTAAATATACTTGCGTAGTCGTGCCAATAATTCACGGAAGTAACCCGCACGATGTATGCAGAAAATTTAATAGTAATTTCCTGAATCCCTAACGAGTCCTACCATGGTGCCTGTACTTAAGATACCTATATATCGTTCCCAATAATTTTTCATTACTGCAAAACAATTTTGGCAAGTTACCATTACAAGGTTATAGGTTGGGCAGATGAATAGGGGTGGGTGGGAGGGGTGGTTCTCTCAATTATAAGTTTCAATTACATATTACATAAGGGACTTTCGTAAATTCGTATCGACCCGACTACCAAATCCATACGTACTGATCTTAATTCTGTATGCATGCCTGATGCACCGGTATTGCAATGAGAGAGAGAGAGATAGAGAGAAGTGCATATGCATCAAGCTAGAGAGAGAGATTGAAGATATTGAACTCTCCCTTTGGGTAATAACAGTAAATTCTGAGCAATAAATCCTCTATAGTCTCTCTTCAGCCTCTCTGCAACTCTCTCTTTCTCTCTCTCGTACGTATGCTGTAAAGTAAATAGTTCCCGTGCACATGCAGGGTCTGTATGTCTGCTGTAGCCATACTGTTCCCTATGGAGATTGTATAGGTACTCCCGGTGCTCGAATCCCTCTCCGGTAGTTGTGACCTCCCCCTGGATTTCCCGGTGAAGGACCGTCAGGACGTAGACGACGACGTGACCCCGTGCCAAGTGGAATCCAGTTCCGTTGTCCCCCCAATGGAAGCCCTCCTAGAGGATTTTCTGGCTGGAATGCGCAGGAGCCAAATGATTAGGGAGACCGAGTATGAAGTCGTAAAACTAGCAGGTCACTTCCAAGTGCATCTCGTGCGTATTGACCCGCATGTGTCGTTTAACGTGCACGGCGTCCCGTGTGATTCACTGGCTGCGGGCATCAAAGGGATCAGTACCTTACACTAGCCTAATAATCCTCTTGGATATATGCCGACGCCATTGCCACTGTTCCTGGCAGCTGGTCGGCTGCTCCTCGTGCTGATCGGTACAGCGGACGGATGAAACTTTGGAAAGCCCTGTATCTCGTTGAATGAGGTTGCTGAGAGTTTTAGTAAACGTGGGATCTCTTTGTTTCTGAATTTTTCAGAGAAGAGTGGTGCGCGCAACAACAGAAGACGTCAAGTGAGCGACGGTGCCAGTAGGGAGAGGAGCGAGAGATCGGAAAGGGAATCGGAGGCTGCGGTATCGGCTAGACAAGAGGACCGGGAGAACAAGGGTCCGCCTAGTGGAAGACCGGGTAACCGTACTGCCAGGGCTGTCCTAGAGGAAGCGAATAACGCTTCCGGAAGTGCGTCCAAGCTTCGACGTCGTGGGGTCGTCAAGAGTCCCGTAGAGAGTCTTCCGCAGAGGACTGTCAGGAGACGACCCAGGCCGGGGAACGAGGTCAAGGAAGGCTCGAGGAGCGTCAGAGAGGATTCCGAGCAGGAGGATCAACCTGGTGAAAAGTCCGATAAGGAGGAACGTCTTGAGAGCCGATCCGAGGAGGAGGAGGACGAAGAGGAGGAAGAGGATTGTGATCCTTTGATAAAGAGGCTCAAGACCACCGGTCACAGGAAGACCAGAGCCGAAAGAAAGAGTAGGGAGAACGAGGTCGAGGAAGCTATCGATGAGGAGGTGCCTGCGAGTAATGTAGATCCCGAGGATACGCCGAAGGACGAGCCTGAGGAGGACGAGGAGAGCGAGTCCAGGGAACGTGACAGGGAGCCAGAACCACCACCTCCTAACAAGGTCGATCCTGGAGGTCCGAAGGAGTCGTCCCAGGATCCGGTTGAAGGGAAGTCCGAGGAGGCGCACGGTCAGGAGGAATCTGTACCGGAAGTGGTTGTGCAGAAGAGCAACGAGGTGCCTGTAAAAGTTCTGTCGAGTAGAGACATCATCCCTGAGGCCACCGATCTCCTTGCGGAGGATAGGAAAGTGTCTCGGTCCAGAAGCAACGAGGTGACGATCCTGACGGAAGGTACGGAACCGGAAGAGGACAGTGTCGGTAGTGCAAGCGGAGGAGTTCGCGCCGGCAGCGTAGAGTCGGTGGTCGAATTACTGGAGTCGAGCAGTCAGGACGGCTCCGTGCTGGAGAGGTTGAGTCCGCTGAGTAGTGGCCCTGGGAGGCAGAGCCTGCTCCTGGAGGAGCAGGAGCGTAATCGTCACAACGAGAGCCCCGTGATTCTCGCAGAGAGATTGAATAAGCCACCGCCGGCACCGGGACACCATCATCATCATAGCCAGCAGCATCCATTGCAGTACCATCATCATCATTATTCGAGTGCCGGCAGTCCCGTAATTCAGTCGCAGCATCAAGGCTCCTCGCTAAGGGAAGCGCAGCAGCAGCAGCATCAACAGCAGCTTCACCACCAGGTGACCAGCAGTCCCCATCATCATCAGCATCATCAGCTGAACAACGCTGGCCTGATAGAAGTACAACAACAGTCCCATCCATCTCGGGGCGGCGATGAAGCCGGCCTCATGGAGGTGGAAGCAGGGGCTGGTGGTGTTCCGGGTAGCGTATTGGGCGGCGTCCCGACGGCTGGAATTCGCGGTGCCGCCTACGGGGACAGCGGTTCCGACAGCGGGGTAAGCTCCCTGAGGAGCGCCGGTTCCGGTGACGAGAGAAGCGGAAGCCGGAGCTCTGCCCTCAGCGCCGAGGAGACTCCAGCGGCGGCGACCCCGGCGCGCGTCTGGCACGTGCAGAGCGTCCAGCACACTTCGCTCCTGATGGCCCATCCCCAGGGCCCACCCGCGGCGGCCAGCTCCTCCGGCACGACCTCCGTAGGCTACCAGAGTCCAGCGCCTCCGTCCCATCATCATCCGACAGTTGCCTCAGAGATGCTTTGGAGACCTCCAAGGTATCCCCCACTTCCTCATGCCCTGCTGGCCCCGGCCCAGCCTAGTCCCGAGGAGATGCTGGAAAGGGACCGTCACGATAGGATGCTCCGGTAAGTACCAATTCTCTACTGAATTCATATTAAATCTCAATCTCCTCCATCCACGTCATGAAATTTTCGTAAATCTAGGTTAACAAGGTCTAGGCCTTAGCCATTGATATGTTTCGATAAACTATCAAGAGGCATCATCCTATACCGTTAACCCCCCGTTGTTGTTCGACCTCGCGTGACTACCTTGTGCTGGCTATACTCGTACACATATCTATGGGCACATTGTGCCGGTGAGAATAAGAAGCTATGCGTGTCTTTGATTATACAACCTAGTAGTAGTGTCGTGACGATCTGAATGGATCTACTTCCGGGCGCCAGCTGTGCGAGTCACTCCTAACTTCCGTCCGATTATTGGCCGCGATAGACGAGCTTTGACTAAGCAATCAAGCCGTTACATTCTGACGCTGCGAAGCAACGACCCGAAACTCGGAGTTTCCTCTATAAATAAACTCAAGTTCGCGAAGAACAAGGACGAGCGAATCGAAAGAATCGGTATAGTGTCGCGACGTAAACGCCTCCAGCGATATTCCCCAGGTAAGATCGGTAGCTTCTCTCTCGTTGTCGATGTTCCTAGACTGTACAGAATTCCTTAGAATTTCCCTAGGACCAATGTACCAAGGGACCATGGGTATTTTCGGGTTGAAATTCCACTCTCAGGAATGGCCGCAGGGTGGGCTGACCCAAAGAGCCAACCAAAGGGTAAAAAAGCAGAGACGGTGACGATCGAGGAGAAAGAAAACAAATTTTTTCCCCTAGAAAAAAAGAGAGACCGTCAGTTGCGCAAAAGGATGAAGATCAAATGACGAAACCGACAGAATGTAAAATAGTGGAGAGCCGACCACAGGAAGTTTCATGACCATAATAGTCAAGGGCGACGCATATCTAGGGGTCGATGATATTAGAAGACTAGCTCAAGGGGATAGAAAGTCGAAGCGTAAACGTGAAAGGTCACCGGTCGACTTCCGATAACGACTACCGCCATCTTGCTCGCCGAACATAATCTTATTTCTATCAGTCGCCTCTGTTTACGTCGAACACATTGAGAAGTGAATTTATTTTTCGTTAACGTCCCTCGAAAAATACTTAAACGTCATCGCCATAATATTGCACAATTATCTGAGGTCATTCACTCGTGTTATAATCACCAACGTAATCATCGCACCATACATTTGACTCACTGTTCGCGTTATCTGTAGTAACTAGTCGCGGCTCTTGTCAAATGACTCAAAGTTCAAGCGGACGACCCGAGAACGACGAGCACGTGTTGCTGTGCTTTTTCAAGGTCGATCTCTGCATTATACCTAGTAGGCAGGTCGAATCGCTCGGTGGTAGAAATGAAAAAAAAGGGTTCCTTAATAAGCAGCATGCGGGCCCGCTGCGTTCCAGACGGGTTTCGATGCCCGTGATTAACCGAATCTCCCTCCCTCATCCGTACGTCCTTTTTTCTTCCTGTCAAGACTTCCCTTTCTTTTTTCTTTCTCTCTTTCTTCTCTTACTCCGTCCTTCTTCATCCCACCAACCAGTTCCGTCACGCGGCCGGTCCGTACCGCTTCTCCGGTTTCCCTCTATCCATTCCACTGCCGACCCAAGGTGGCACAACGCTACCTTCTATAGAAATAATTTTTTCCCCTTCTTGTTCTGCCACTTCCACTTCTTTTCCTTTATCTCTATTTTTGGTATCGCTCGATCGATACCTCCAGTCCGCAACGGCAGACGTCCCGCTTCCGATTAAAGGTCGGAGACGAGCCTGTTTTATAGTACGACAACGTTATCCTTCGTTCGTCACGCAACCTTCTCGTTACTGTGAAGGTACTCTGTTCTCTTCCTAGCCTCACCCGAGGGATACCGTAACACGAAAGAAATACTGCATCGTTGTCTCATGCTTGAATTCTACCTTGTAAATTGCCACCTGCTTAGTTTACGGGTACGTTGTAACTAATTGTACGGGAGGATTCATGATCGGTTCTCAAGAAATCTTTCGTCTCGTTAGTTATTACGTGTATACTATAACCGTTATAGTTCTTTAGGTCATTGTGGTTTCTCCAAGGAGATCTGTACGCTCACTGATCATGCCCATATATACGGTACATGTTTACTGTAGTCTGTACCGTGCGTGAATCCTCTTCCAGAAGATGGCGAACCTCGCACACTCGCTGTTATTCTGCTCCAAATACGTCCAATTACGCGCTACTGGCTTCTAGTACTCTGGTCCGCTCTAACGACCGCGATTTAACGCTTATGCAAGCCACTCGACGAGGTAATCGCCACCGTGGAAACAGAAACTGGCATTCGGGCACAAGGTCACTGCTTCTTTTCCGTCCTCCATTTCAAGTAACGCTCTTGCACTGCGTCGTGACGCTTTGCTGCCTTCGAGGGCGACCCTCGTCTAAGAAGGGAAACGTAAATCGTAGGAAGGAAAAAAAAAACAAATTATCCAAATCACACGACAATCATTTTCCAGACGAGAAATACGTGCGTGATCTACATACATTGGCGCTTGCCTCGCCTTGTTTATTTATGGAAATTATCAATCCCTTTCATTTTCTCGAAGAAAACGTTACGGGAATTTTCTTAGCTCTCAGAAAAAATCAACATCGATCGGTACATGCGTATACATATACGTATATATGACTGTAAAAATTTGCGTGATAAAAAAACAAGTGGATGAGTAGCAATATTCGCTAAAGGAAGAATGAAAGGGGATGAAAATAACGGTATTATGCTGTTCCTCGTCAAGGACTCTCGGGACTCGGAAAAGGTTCCCGTTCCGTAAATAGCGAGAAGCACTTTTGCGTCGGGGTCATTACGTTACCATTCTATCCTATTAGGAGTGCGCTTGAACGCGAGTAGGCGGAGTGCAGACAATAATCACTGTTCATTATGCGGTTCACGTGGCACATATCCATCAGCGAGCGCGTGTCTCTACGTACGGAACACTCGTATACGAATTTTATATAGGATGCGTAGGAGAGAATGTACGTCTATTAGCGCGACGAGTTTTTCCCGTGGCGTCGCCAGTGTCGGGATAGACAACTACGGACGACGACAGCCAACATGGCCGCCGCCGTACGAGACACTCTGCCTTTGTAAAACCCGTGCGTGCGCGTGGGGTAAAGTAACAGTAAATCCGCCTGCGAAGATTGTGAAGCTTACACGAGGAGTATAGAATGCTTGTCTATGTTGACGATGATGCTAGTGATAGTGACAGGCGTTCATTTTACTACGACGATGTGTTCATTTGACGGCTGGAACTCGGCAGAGAAATTGAAGAAAGGGAAGAGCGTTACGAGAGTGATGTAATCCAAGCTTTGACGAACTGTTACGTGCTGTGAAATTGGCTCGGCGTGACTTCTGCGAGAACGGAAGAATTTAAAGTGTGAAAATACGTAGAAAGTATCTCGGGCGAGGTATATCTCCAATGTTTTTTAATGTTTTCTTCCCGCTCGGGTCTCTTCAAATTGGCCATACGTTTCTTCGAAGACGTTTAGGTTATGCCTTAGTGGAGACGACAAACGCGACCGTTTCATTTAAAGCCTGGATTGTAATGCCGACGGACTTGCCGAAGAGGTTAGTTGCTTTTTGACTGATTGCAGTATGGCAGTTAAACTGAAAAAGAATTTGTACGTAGCTCGAGAGGAGGCGGTGGTGCGGTATTCTCCTCCTCGACTCGAAGCTATTAGCGTGGATCATAAAGGTCCTCAACCCAGTGAGTCACAGGAGGGTTAATAATTACTTGGAATACTTTGTAGAGGTGGTGGTGGAGGCGGTTCGTCTGCGTGACTATGCCTTTCACGTATGAAACGTTTTTACGAATGTATGTATAGCATGTATACCGGAGGAACATGTGCAGGTTGCGTGTGCACCATGAGTGTTCGGTGAGCGTGAGAGAGAGAGAGAGAGAGAGAGAGAGAGAGAGAGAGAATGACGAGCAACGCCAGGTGCAGTACACTTGAACATAGTCACACATATACGAACTAGTGGACTCGGACGCATATATTAATATACCGACGCACAGTCCGTGCACGACTCGCGAATATCCGCTCATATTTATATCCAACTACGCCAAGGCTCACTCGTAAATTAGTTTAAAAATAGAGCTACCGGGCATCGAATTGGATAAAAGGTTGCCCGTTTTATTTTTCATGGTATTAATAACGTTTTACACGCTACTACGATAATGGCAGGGAGGCTCGGGACGCGTCACGATGGTTTTTATTTTGACGTCTCGTTCCTTCAGTCGTCTGGCAGCAGTGGGGTTTGACATAACGCGGTTAAGATGGATTCTCGACAGCGCGGTAATGCGACGGGTAAAAAAGAGAAGGAAAAACATTAATTGAAAGTGACATTTCAGGCTACGGTAATACAAGGCACTGAAAACAAGCGAGCGTAACCGTTCCCTTTACGATTATCGTCGCTGTGACGGTACACTTGAAAATTAATGTCTCCACGGTGAAAACACGTCGGGGATTCTCAAACTCCAACTGCACCGACCCCGTGGATCGCAACAACGAACCGTATAACCGCTGCGGTCGCAACGTGTCTCGACAAGCCAAAGATCGGAGACATAAGACCTGAATTCAGGACGATGCCGAGAGATGGCGCTGGCCGATGGCGTTTCTCCCGAGCAAAGAAGTGGCGACTGAAATTAGGATCGCCTGCTTTATGGACATTTTTGCTTTACTTTTTTTTCTCGTAAAATTTTTACCCTCCGCCAATGTCGTTCCCCGAGATGCTGGAACGCACATAATAGGGACAATGGAGTATTTCTAAGCGTCGCGACACTCCTCGTAAACCCTGAGTCTTGGAGCTACTGAAAACCCACTAATTTCATTGGGCTATAAGGCGCATCGATATATCGACGACGTCATTATAACGATCTGCAGTAATACCTTAAACTCTCACGCACAACGCACCGTACGGAATATTCCGCGTCGAATCCCACGCCACTCTCTTCCTTCTCCCATTACCCCTCGTCACTCTTATAGTCTCACATTATTTCT